CCAGACATGTGCACACCCACTTCAAAGACCACCACCCCAGGGGGTCTCAATGAAATATAGGTATGTTTTTAGGAACCAGTTAGTGATTCATCACCATCACTTATCACCTAGCACGGATCGGTTTATTCAACAACTGTCACTGTGGGAAGCAAAAAGCAGGACTCTTAAATAATAAGACATTAGACAAAAAGTGTTTTGAAAAGTTCAAGAAGGAAGAAGAACTGAACAGATAAATGTAGTTCAACGTGGAAGGGCTATGATAGAGGTAGGACGAGGAGCACTTTGGAGGGAAGGCACCCAGAGAAAATGCTGCCAGTGTCCGGGGTCGTAGTATAAGGAGAAATTAGCCAGGTGAGAAAGAAGAGGAGCAGCAAGTGCAAAGCAGGAGAGGCCAATGAGAGTCCACTACAGCAAAGAGCTGGCTGAGCAAAGATCACAGGTGGGGACAGAGTCGTAGAGATGAGGCTGGGCCAGACCCAGAAAGGCTTTTTGGACAAGGTGGGCCCTTGCCAGGATTGTCCCAGGTGACACTGTCATCCCAGCAGCCTGATTTAGCATTTGTCCTGGATCTTTTTTGGGTTAGCAAAATGTTATCATGGAATGAGTTTAATTTGCACATGATTTAGTTTTGAAAATATTTTATTTTTTTTTTCAGTTGACAAGTAAAAATTGTATATATTTACGGCGTACAACATGCTGTTTTAACATATGTATATCTTGTGGAATGGCTAAATCAAGCTATTGAACATATGCATTAACTCACATACTTAACATTTATTTGTAAGGAGAACACTTAAAATCTACTCTCTTAGCAATTTTCAAGTATACTATATATTGTTATTAATAACTGTAGTCATCATGATGTACAATAGACCTCTTGAAATCATTCCTCCTAACTGAAATTTTATGTCCTTTGACCAACATCTCCCTGATTCCCAATTGCCTCTGTAATGGCAATTTTACTCTGTTTCTATAAGTTCATCTTTTTTACATTCCACATATAAGTGAGATCATGCGGTATTTGTCTTCCTGTACCTGGCTTATTTCACTTAATATAACACCCTAGAGGTTTATCTATGTTGTCGCAAATGACAGGATCTCCTTCTTTTTTAAGGCTGAAGAGTATCCTATTGTGTATATAGTCTATTTTTTTATCCATTCATCCCCTGATGAACCCTTGGGTTGATTCCGTACCTGGGCTGTGTGAATAATGCTTCAGTGAACATGAGACTACGGATATCTCTTCAACATACTGATTTCACATCCTTTAAATATATACCCAGTTGTGCTTTGGGAATATCTTAACTTGTGGGAAGAACTTCTGTTTCTCACTTTTAGTGGGATAGACACATATTCTATACTGAATTGAAGTGAAATTGAAAAGCCCTAGGATATGCCAATAACTAAACTTGGTGAAACTTTCAAAAGAACCGTAAGTAGAGACAATTTACTTGGCAAATTTTGTCTTGTAAAAATATCTCTTGAAGAGAGGCATGGGGCTCTCTAAGCGAAAAGGCAGATTCTGTAAAATATTTGGGCTGAAGCATTTAAACATTTCAATATGGGGAGAAAAAAATGGAATTGAGAATATTGTCTACATAAGAAAATTTGCTCTGATCTTACCAAGCACCTCAGCACGTGTGAAGAGAATGTTTTCTCAGTTAAAAATATTATGGTTGGCCTGGCATGGTGGCTCACGCCTGTAATCCTAGCACTCTG